CTACATACCACAAAATCACCGATGCCCTTTCGATGCATGGGATGCTTCGTGTATGACTTTTGCACACAGCCGTGTGATCACCAAAAGTCGAGATTCGGAGCTTGATGTTTCTGAGCTCAGAGGCCTTCTTCGAGTTTCTGGTTTGGTTAGGGTTTATAGGGTTTAGTGTCCTTGGCACTTTATGGCATAGAGGAGTTTTGGGAAGCTGGGCCTTCAGTCTCAAGGATGTAGAACCTATGCATATATCATCATTAGTTCCTGCTTTATATACACATTTTATGTAAAGGTGTATATATACATATATGTACATATGCATATATATATATATATAGAAGGAGTGCCGCGCGGCGAGCTTCGAGAAGAGAGCTAGAGGCGAAGGACAGCGAAGATCACAACTCCAAGAAATCTCGAAGCTTTGCAAGAAGGAGCTTCAAGGTTCCGGGTCTGTTCACCCGAAGCCCCACAACCTTGATTCGTGTGTGCGTGTGCGTTGTGTTGGGCTGCAATTAAGGGCTTTAGGATGCTTGCCAGGACGAGTACTACTCAACAGATGCGTAGTAATTAAATAAATATACTAATAATTAATAATAAGGCTAATGAGAATAACAATAACGAAGATGCTGATACGATTACCAAGAGGAATAGCGAGTCATGTAATCACTAGCTCGTCTCCGATTGCTGCCACTTCAACCGCGACAGCGGGCCCCCCTTTCCAAAAATCCGTATACGTAAGAGTAGCTTGGATCTCCCCGACTGAACTCAAAGCTCAAACCTCCCCCGGCCTGAGCATTGCTATGGTGCCCTGCCACACCGTGGGCGCACATGCGTTGAGAGCGGAGGTGGTGAGGCGGAGGCAGGCCTTGGGATGAGGCGCAAAAGATCTTCATAGCTTGCGGTGGAGTTGAGGATTTAGGGTCTTACAGGGCTTCGAAGCTCAGACTTTAGGGCTCCACGGAACTGCGAATATCCTAATTACTAAGTATGAAGCAGAGCACTGCATCTGAAATTCTGAAGATTAAAACCAGAATCCCAAACCCTGAGTTTTGACCTCCGCATCCGAAATCTGGAACCTCCATATTAAATCTAAGCGCAACACTAGCGAAAAAGGACCAGTCAACCTCAAGCCCCGTTGAATGAAGCGAGGGCTGTGCATGCGGAGCCTGCCCAGCAGACTAGACGTATGGGTGTTTGGACTTGGAGCTTGAGGTTAGCAGTCAAACCTCATCCTACGACAACCAATCGCATCAGTTTTGTTGGGGCATGTCACATGGTGTGTGCCCTGCTTCACTGCCCTGAGACATTTAACGCCACGGCGCGGCCGCCAAGCTCCTGATCGTGAACTCTCCAAGACAGCAGCTACACACAAATGTTCTGAAACCAAACAGTGACATGGCAATTCAGCTGGCAATTGCGGAATGGCGAAACGAAAGAAGACCACGACGACTGCTGAAACTGATGCTGAGTACTATCATGTCTGCCACTTCTTCTAGTGCTGCTGCTATTCCTTCTACTACCAAACTCTAGCCTTGAGGTCAAGGTGGTGCTGTGTGACGACTCTGCCGCATCCGTGTACTCCTGAGCAGCGCTGCAGCGTTCTCCCAGCTTCCGGCCACCAGGGCACCACCCAAGGAAGCCTTCGGCCGACAGGGGTTCAGAGCTTAGAGTCTGTGGGTTTAGGCTTTAGGCTTGGGTTTGGGGGTTTTGTGGTTTCTAAGGGATTAGGCTTTGGGGATTTGGCTCGAAGGCTTCGAGTTCGACGGATGCTCCGCAGGTCTTCGATGAAGCTTTAAACACCTATGCAAGCGACGAGACCCTCAAGCCCTGACTCCCAAAATCACTGGCGAGGCCCCAAAATCAAAACAAAGTTGAACAGTATCCCTCCGGTATGTGCAAGGTATGCGCAGCGGATGCGTGCATCCCTTGCAGGAGCTTCAGACCCTCGCGGCTTGATTCATCAGGGTGCAGGGCTTGGGCAAGGCGGTGTTGAAACTTTCTGGCTCCCTGTTTTTGCTGTTTGTATACGACAGCACAGCGTGGACACCAACAGCAAGAGTTGAGGGGTCCGAGATCCTGTAAGCTGCATCCAGCGCCGACAAGCTTTCAGTATTCTTGAACCTCATAATATTTTCCCGAGAGTTTAGGTCTTAGGAAGGTTCAGGCTTTGGGTGTAAGGTTTAGGAACCGAAACCCGAAGTCTTAAAAGACGCACACGTCCAGACTCAGGATGTAGCCTTGCTAGAAGACAGGCGCATCTGTGGGATGGATTCCAGAGCAGCCTCAAAAATAGGGATCAGGGTGCAAGCCTCACCGTAGAGGAGGCTCTAGGTTGAGGCTTGCAGAACCGTAAACTCTACATGATCCCACATGAGTACCAACACCAAGTTTCTGAAGTCTGCCATCCTGTTCATCGACAATTGACACATGACAGCACACATAAGCCCGAAACCGTAAAGCCCTGCAACGCTTCTCGGCGGTTTAGAGCTTTCGGGTCTTGGTGTTTAGGGTGTATGACGGTGCAGGAGAGTCTTCAGTGCAACACAATACCAGAGCACTGTAGCTTCTAGGTTACGAATAACAGCAGAACCGTTAGATTCTGAAACTGTGAGCCGCTGAAGCCGCTACTCCCCGACCCCGATCCTAAACCAAGGCTTTAAGCTACATAAACTGAAGACAAATGAACCTCTGCAGCCAACGTCTGAACCCGTTGTCCCGAACGAAGCGTAAACCCCAAAACAGTAGATGCCAGACAATGCTGCCGAACGCAGAAAGCTACAGATGCGGAACAACGCTGAAACCCCTACCGTTAGATCTGCAACAAGGTTCCTCCCGAATAAAAATCTTCCGAACCTGTGACGGTAGATTACAAACGCTGGAAACACAAAACACCTAACCCAAGAAGCCTTCAAAATCTTACACCCCTTGCCATAAAGCTCCACATCCACCGTGAAAGCCGAAGCCCACATGGACAGGGGCCGGTGCCCAGGCATTCCGCCAGCTGCTCCGAGAGAAGTTTCGGGCTCCGGCCTTGGGGGCCCAAAAAACATGTGTAGTCGTCGTCGTCGCGGTCGTCCTCGTCGTAGTCGTCATAGTCGTCGTCGTCGTCGTCGTATAGTAGTAGCAGTAGCAGTAGTAGCAGCAGCAGCAGCAGCAGCAGCAGCAGCAGCAGTAGTAGTAGTAGTAGTAGTAGTGGTAGTAAGTAGTAGTAGTAGTAGTAGTAGTAGTAGTAGTAGTAGTAGTAGTAGT